TGGCTTTCTCCCAAGACTTTTCAAGCAGCTTCCCAGTGGGAAAACCCAATGGGTGTTTTTCAGCAGCACTTGATGTTATTAAGGAATTTTTATTATAACATTTTACTTTTTTGGCCTTTGGAATTCTCACTCCAGTCCTTTCCTGCCTCTATGATGCTCCCAATTCCCCTCTGTGGGAGACATTTCCTCATTTCTACCTACCCTGCTAACTTAAATATTAGTGCAGGTGCTCCCTTCACCCGCAACCTTGTTCTGTTGTGATTTCCACTTATTTTTGTCCAGGCTTCTAAGTTTCTAGGAACAGAAACCCACTCACAGTAGCTTAGGCAAGAAAGCCGACTGAGCCTAAGACCATGGGAGTTGCTCATGGGCTCCAGGGGCAGAATCTGCACTGGGCTTCCCCGGGGCAGGGGCTCTGGAGGGGGAGGCGGAAGGAAGCTGAGATGTCTGATTCCATCCCATTCTCCCTCCTCCTCTGTCGTTGACCATAAGCCTTACCTGCTTCTGCAGGCTCGCTGAGGAAGCCAGCCACTCCACCACCCTTAGGATGCTTACTTTTTCAGTTTAAGCACTTAACTAACTGCTTCTCCAGTTTCCAAGGGCTTTACAAAGGTACATTCCTATTGACTCAGCAATTCCACTTCTAGGATCTTAATCATAAGCACATGATGTGAGAGGTACATTAAGGTTTAAGCTTATGGATGCTCTTCATAGAATCATTTGCTATAGAGAACATTTAGAAACAGTTTGAGTAGCCAATAAGATTTTTAGCCACTTATATTAATATGATAAACTTTTATCACATTTTAAAAACAGTTCAGAATCAATTTTGAATAGAGCTTAATGAGAAATTGAGATTAAATAAAAAGCAAAATATGAAACTACGATTTTAATTCAAAAATATATACATATGCATCATAAAGTAAACCAGGGTGATGGATACTGAATACTTTATTTCTCTCTACATATTTTTTCTCTATATATTTTTATTCTCTCTATATTTGCATTTTCTGTGTCATTTTAAATACAACTCATTGTAGAGCTCCTGTCTTCTAGGAACCCTTCTTGGCCTCCCCACCCTGGGTCGGGTCCCTTTTCTGCCTGTTTCTAGTACTGGGCACACACTTGTATTGTCACAGGTGCTGTGCAGCCTCTGATTTCTTAATGAGAGGACCTTTGGATGTTCATCGTTACATTTCTTGCATGTAGGAGCATGGCCGATAATAAATGTGTATTGACTGAAGAAATTTAAGTTGGCAGAGAAACATTTTTTTGAAGTTCAAACATTTGCCAAGTTCAAACATCTGTAGCTTTTTGCTGCATAGAAGGTTAACATAAAGTTTTTAGCTTCCCTTCCTCTTTCTTAGCATTTTATCAATCAGATTGGTGATAAAGTTGATCATTGGAGTTTAAGAAATGGATGTATATTGTTAGGGGTTGAATGTTTGTGTCCTCCAAAATTCATTTGTTGAAATCCTAACCCCTAATGTGATGGTGTTAGGGGGTGGGGCCTTTGGAAGGTAATTAGGTCATAAGAATGGAGCTCTCATGAATGAAATTCATGTCTTTGTAAGAGGAGGTGCCATGAGGGTTTGCTTGCTGCCTCTCTGTTCTCCACCATGTGAGGATACCAAGAGAAAACGTTTCCAAACCAGGAGGAGAGCTCTCACCAGACACCAGATGAGCCAGCGCCTTGATCTTCTGAGAACTAAATAAGTGTTTATTATTTAAGCTACCCAGTCTATATTTTGTTATCATAGCCCAAACTGATTAAGACATATGTGAACATGGTTTTACTATTGGAACTTTAAGTTTATTTTGAGAAAACTGTATATTAACATGTATTTTTAGGAAATAATACAGAGAGATAGATCTTTTGTATCGGTTTGTATCCTTTACCTAACTTCTCCCAATGATAATATCTTGTAAAACTCTAGTACAATATAGCAACCATGATATTGACATTGATACAGCCAAGAGACAGAATATCCCCATCATTATAAGGGTCCTTTGTAGCCAAACCCAATCCCTCCCATCCCCAATTCCCTCCTTAACTCCGGCAACCACTAATCTGTTCTCCATTTCTATAATTTTGTTGTTTCAAGAATGGTATACAAAGTAAACATTATATAAAATAAAATCATACAGTATGTAACCTTTTGGGATTTTTTTTTCACTCAGCATAATTCTCTGGAAATTCATCCAGGTTGCTGCATAGGTCAATAGTTTGTTCCTCTTTATCACTGAGTAGTATTCCATGGTATGGATGGACCACAGTTTGTTTAACCATGCACCCACTGAAGGACATTTGGACTGTTTCCATATTTTTGGCTATTATGAATAAAGCTGTTATAAACATACATATACAGGTTTCTGTGCGAACTTGAGTTTTCATTTCTCTGAAACAAATGTCTTGGAGTATAACTGTAGGGTTGAATGCTAGTTGTAGGCATGTCTTTTAAGAGACTGCAGCTGTACCATTTTACATTCTCACCAGCAGTGTCTTACGGGCCCAGTTTATCTATATCATCGCTAGCATCTGGTATTTTCATTCTTTTTTATTTTAGTGATTGTGATAGATGTAGTAGATCTCATTCTGGTTGAAATTTGCATTTTTCTAATGGCAAAAGAAGTTGAACATCTTCTCATGTGCCCCCTGTACATTCTCTTTGGTAAAATGTCTTAAGTTTCTGCCCATTTTCTAATAGGATCGTTTATTTTTACTGTTGAATTTTGAGAGTTCTTTAAATCTAGATACTAGTCCTTTGTTTGATTTATGCCTTGTAATAATTTTTCCCAGTCTGTAGCTTGCCTTTTCATTCTATTCATATGAGTGGTTCCAGAGCAAAAAAGTTGTAGTTTGTGAAATCAAATTTATCAACTTTTTCTTTTTTGGATGGTGCTTTTGTTGTCAAGTCTAAAAATTCTGTTTAGTCCTAGATCCCCAAAATTTTTCTCCTATGTTTTTTTCAAAGGTTTTCTAGTTTGTATTTTACATTTAGGTTGGTGGTTCATTTTGAGTTGATTTTAGTTTATTGAAGTTTATTTTATTTGGTGTATCTTCTCTGATGTGAGCTGTCCTGACATTAACCCTCTGTGTCTTTGCCTTTTAGATCTCTATGTGTATGCCGTGTTTGTGTGTTGTGTGGGGATTCTCAGTGTTCTGCTCTTCACCCTGACCATCATCTGGCAGTCGGTGTTTAGCAAGAGGAAATCCAGAGGTAAGAACAGATAAGATCATGTCTAGAATGAGAGCACAACCAAACCACAGACAGCAGAAGTACTCTGGTCAAAGTATCATCGTGGCTGAAAAAGTTTTCATAAATCAGGGATTTTTTTGCCTGTGACTGTTGAGCAAAGTGAGTGAGAAGATGTGTCTCCCTTACACTCTGCTAAAATCAACTGTGATCATTGCTGATATCATTTAAATTCTCTTTTTGTCCCCTCAAATTCCTTCCTTCCTTTGTTTTAAGGACCCTGACCTCTGTCATTCTCCTAGAAGAGGCTATGGATCAGATGAACTTGGATTTGATTCTGGTTCTGCTACTTAAGACTGAGTTTTTAGACACTTTCCTTAACCACTCTGAACTTCATTTTTCTCATTTATGGAATGAAATAAGATCGACACCACCTTCCTTAGACTGAATGTTCATAGAGTGTTCATAATTTAATTACAGTGCTGGTGCTGTGCCTGTCAGGCCGGTGGGATTAGAAAGGCTCCACTTCCCCTTTTTCTCATCCAGTCTGAATGTCCACTTTTTCTTGTTGGTGTTCCTGTTCCCCTGGACTATCCTCCACCCCTTCTCATTTCACTCTTTCTTTTTAGTGACTACGGTTCTTATGGCTGTCTGTTTTCTATCTCTAGCCTTGCCTCTCACCAAGCCTCAATGTCACATTTCTACCAGCTTCTGTGCATTTCCTCTGAGGTACTCTCCCTGCAACTCCCTTCAGAATTTCCAAAACAGATGGGGATGCTATAGCTCCCAGAGATGACATGGGTAAGAGCAGGGCTCTAGAATTAGACCGCTTTGGTCAAAGGGCAACTCTTCACTTACCAGCTGATAACTTACCATGCCTCACCTTCCCCATCTAAATAATGGGGAAAACAGTTGTATACCAATCTCATAGGATTGTCGTGATGATTAGGGTAACAGACAAACAAACAAACACCCAAACAAAAGCCCTTAATACATTCTGGCTCCTTGTAAGTGTCCTGTATTTATGATGACATATGGTTATAGTTATACATAATGATTATTATTAGCCCAAGGTCATAAAGCTGAGAAGTGTTAGATTTGGTGGTCACAACTTGAGGGGACACTCAAACAGGGAAATTGAGCATTGTTTCCAGAGGGAGCTCTCCCCAGAGGTGTAAGCAGGGCTAAGGGAATCAGGGAGGGAGGGAGAAGGAGGCACTCAGGGACCAGTGCCTGCAGGAATCTGTTTTCACCCTAGACCTTAGAGGACAGAGAAGGAGAGATTCTTAAAACTTGCAAGACCTGCAGCTGCTGGAGAAGTGTCACTAGCAGGATCCTTAAAAGAGGGACTCAGGCGATGCCAAACCAGGTGGCTACAGGAAGAGGGCCAGGAACATGCATTCCTCAGACCTTCCCTTCACCCTCTCCTTCAGATGTCCTGTCACTGCTTTGGTTCCACCAACCAGAGGCCACAGGCAGTGCATAGGAGTCAGCCTCCAGGGGCCTGAGTATGGTAGAAAAGGGTGGACGGGGATCCGGAGGGATACATGGAGATTCCTAGCATAGTCAGCATAGATGGGGTGAGAGCTATAGCTAGATCTTTCTACTCCCCAACCTGCACCCTTCCCGCCAGGCTTTATGTGTGTCTCTGTGCTGTGCTCTGTGAGCCTTCCTCCATGGTGTCTGCCCACCTCATCAACAGTTCCCAAGCTTTCCACCTGTTCCAAACCCTCGACTCTTTTTATGAGCTTGTGGCACATGTGCAAATGCATTTGTCTCCGTTCAAGAGGACAGTGTGTAAGGCAGGGACCCTTCTCCTTGGAATTTGGCTCATGACAGCTGCTCAACAAATGGTGGACAAATGGTTTTTATTTTTTTTTCAGCTGCTTGGCCCACAACTGTGGGAGTTCGGAAGCCGCATAGGCAGTCTTTAAGCCTATTTTGCTCTAAAGACACCTACTTCTGGGCTCACGGGCATGATAGAGAATCTGCTGTGAGTTGCAGGCTATGTTAGGCTTTAGATAGGAAGAAGAAAACAAAGCAAGGTAGGTAATTAGTTAAGGACACATCTATATCCTCCAAGGCCAGCAAAGGCAGATGGACACACTCTCCAGGCTTCACATAGAGCCACTGAGAGTCTAATTCTTAGCTGCCCTTGTCTCCCCTGGAGTGGGCTCCAGACGGCCTCCTGTGCTCCTGTGCAGTGTCCAAAAGCCCTACTGAGCTTTCAAGAGCTTTGCCTGAGCATCTGCTGTGGGCCAGACTCTCACTGGCTCCTCCACATTCTCATGTAATCCTTGTCACCAGTCCAGGATGACAGTTCAGTCACTCCCATTTTACAGAACATAGCTGAAGAACTTGATAAAGTCCTGAAACAAGGAGTGGCCAAGACTAAGCCCAACCTGATCCCTAGCTTCCCACATTTCTATTCAAGAAAACCTCACCCATCTAGGGGCTGACCTTGCCCAGGAGTTTTCCTTCTAACTTTCATGGCAGTTGTTGGCGAAGTCCTTTCAGAACAGCAGTTCATAGCTCCTGCAGCAACTGGGGAGCTCGGCTTCGGTCTGGTGCAGCTGTACCAGTAGGCTGGCCTCAGATAGCCCTGGCAGGGCAAGTCCTGCCCCATGGGAGTCCTGGTGATAGCCGTTGCCTGGACCCCTTAGAGCAGCACCGCCCCAACCTGCAGTAGCAGACCATTCACCTGGAAACCTGCTCAAATGCAGATTCTGATTCAGTGCATCTGGGCAGGCCTGAGAGTCTGCATTTCTGATGAGATCCCAGGTGGTGCCACCTCTGCTGGTGTGAGGCCACACTTTGAGTAGCAAGGCCTTAGTGCAGATTCTTAACTCTATCCCACCCAGCACCCTCTTTTACAACAAATATATTGAAATGATCCTATTACTATCTTGAAATGAAACTCATAGATAAGATATGCTACCTCTACCCCCTCAAAACAATTTAATGCTCTAAAATATAAAGAAATAAATAGAAAATAATTTATAACACAATATAACAAAGTTTAGTACTTCTTTTGCACTTCATCTTTTGAATAAGTTTGAATTTCAGAGAAAATTTTCTGTGTATGTGAAAGGATTTTACATATATGTATATATTTATATATGTTACATTTACATATAACATACATACATGATATATATTAAATGTCTATATAGTCATGTGCCATATAACGATGTTTTGGTAAATGAGGGACCATATAGATACTGGTGGTCCCATAAGAGTACAATGGAACTGAAAATTTCCTATCACCTAGTGACGTTGTTGTGCTGCCAGTTGTATTAAAGTATAGCACATACAATTTTGTCTAGAACGTAATACCTGATAATGATAAATGACTGTTAGTAGTTCATGTATTTACTATACTAATACTTTTTATCATTATTTTAGAGCGTCCTCTTTCTACTTTAATAAAAAAAAAATACATTGCTATAACAGTATGTCATGTTACCCTGGCAGCCTCGTACATCCCATGTTTACCACGTCTCTTAATTACATTATTTTCCCTTGTGCTTGATTTAATCTCATGTTGTTTTATAAATTTAGTGTAGCCTAAGTGTGCAGTGTTTATAAAGACTACAGTAGTGTACAGTAATGCCCTAGGCCTTCACATTCACTTACCACTCATTCACTGACTCACCCAGAGCAACTTCCAGACCTGCAAGCTCCATTCATGGTAAAGGTACGGTCATGCCCTATATAGGCGTACCATTTTTTATCTTTTATATTATGTTTTTAGTGTACCTTTTCTATGTTTAGATGTGTTTAGATACACAAATACTTACCAATGTGTTACAATTGCCTACAGTATTCAATACAGTAATAGGCTATAAAGGTTTGTAGCCTTAGAGGCGATAAGCTGTCTCACACAGCCTAAGTGTGTAGTCGGCCATACCATCTTATAGTTTGTGTAAGCACACTCTATGATGTTCTCACAATGAAATTTCCTAACAACACACTTCTTAGAACATATCTCTGTCATTAAACAGCACATGACTGTACATTACATTTATATTACATATATTATATTTACATGAATTTATATATCTATGTTTTATATAAATAATATATATG